CTGGCTACAAAAAATATTTCACCTGATGAACTTCCTATCTACCACTGGAGGAAATATAATTCTCTCTACTTGAACATAAACCTTCTAACTCCCCAGTATTACTCTTTTTGGCAAACGTTTTCGACCCTACCAGGGTCTGAATGGAAGGACACCATAGCAGAGCTGGAACATATCCAGGGAATGGCAACACAGCATGAGTACGGTAAGAACTTGGTATATAATATCGCAAGAGCATATATACAGAGAAGAGAAAGCAATACTCCGGACATCCCAGATGTACCCCTTGACGGAAACAGTAAAAGAAAAATAGTAGAGTACAACCACCATCTGGCCAATATATACAGAGAAATCTCTTCCCGCACTAATAATAAGGTAACGTACAGCAGGCCAAGATCCATTTATAGCTTACTACGCAATGGGAAGGATACGCTAGACTTGAAATGCGCACCGGGAGTATATTCTATACCCATTTGGGATGACAGATTTAATAATAAATTGGTATATGTGGGATCAACCAAACGCTCCCTTCGCAAACGTCTCCAGGAGCATAAATATGATATAGATAATAATAAACACACCACCACCCTTTCAACCGTGGCCACAGAACCTGGAATAAGGGTGGATCTACAGAATGCCCGTATGGTAAGACTATCACAGCGTACGGACCAACTAAGAATTATGGAGACCTTAGAGATTTATAAAGCAGGATTAAACAACACATGTATTAACTCCAAAGACGCAGTTAATATCTCTAAAGCATGGAAATTTTGTTATGAAGAAACACCCCACACATAATTGAGTACAATGACGTTTATTACAAGCGCAATTTACGCAAGCTTTAACGTCATCGAGAAAGAACGTGGTGTTCTATATTTTTGATATAAACGTTGACATTCTAGGATTTGAATCGCATTTAATCCATTACTGTTCGATTTTGCAATATTTGAATTTATTAAAACGGTAGCCTGAAGAAGACCCTGGTAGGGTCGAAAACGTTTGCCAAAAAGAGTAATACTGGGGAGTTAGAAGGTTTATGTTCAAGTAGAGAGAATTATATTTCACCTGAATTAAATCTTGTGATTGATATAATTATTAAAGTGGTCTTCTTCTTCTTGGTGCCATATCAGATTCCTGACGTTGGCGACACCTGGCGTAGGTTTGTAATCCGCCAAGGTGTATACTAGGGAAAGTTACTACCCAGAGTGGTTTCCCGTTGCCTTCTCTGGGGCGCGATATTACGCAAGGGGAACTAATGCCTTCCGGGAGGACTTTTATGGGGAACTGGCCTCCTATTTAGTCATTATTGGCAAGGAGAAAACCCGGAAAACTCCAAGCAGCCAGCCTGTCCGATCGCGGCACGAACCCACGACCGAACTCCCAGTGTTTAGACCACTCGGCCACTGGTGGGCATTAAAGTGGTAAACTATAAAAACAAGACCCATGAAGGCAAGATTTTTCTGAAAGCTTTGTGAAGCTTTGGGTGCTGAGCATACATCTTTACTTTATTACTGTAACTCTTGTTGGTTGTCGAGAAGTAAATACTCTCATGTGTATATGAATTAAAAATGAGTTGCACATGTATTTATTGATAGAATCACATCATGACACAGAAAAGTTTAAAGTTACTGACTTCTTAATAAAAGTGGTGTATCTTTGCAACATATTTGAGAAATTGAATGTCCTTAATAAATTGCTGCAGGGAAACGAAATGAATATACTGCAACTGACTAATAAAATTGCAGTGTTTAAAAAGAAGTTGCTGTTGTGGAAAAGAAAAATAGAAGAGAAGCAAGGAAATACTGACTTTTTCCTGTTTTAAATGGCTCTCTGCAAGAAAAATCTATTCAAAATCTGGAGCCAAGTTTGCAATCGATATTTATCCAACACTTATCAACACTAAGCACCCATTTTGATACATATTTTCCAAAGAATCTAGATCAATATGACTGGATTAGAGATCCATTCCAACCAACCCCACCCCCATCTACACTTTCAACAGTCGAGGATAAAGCTGTTAGAACTATCTTGTGATACGAGCCTAAAACTACAGTCGACCCCCTTGTAAGATCATTGATTATTCCGTTTTATATGAATTCCATGTTGTACAAGTCACTTAAATTTTACAAATACGTGAGCCGTTCACAGCCCGGTACACGTATTTGTAAAATCTAAGTGACTCGTACAACATGGAATTCATATAAAACAGAATAATCAATGATCTTATACGGGGGTCGACTGTACGATTTGATAAAGACAAACTATTTCAATTTTGGAGCAATGTATCCCAAGAATATCCTACTATCAGTACTACAGCTTTAAAGGTTCTTTTACCGTTTACTACGATGTACTTGTGTGAAACTGGCTTTTCTACAGTTGCAGTAATCAAGTTGAAATACAGGTCACAAATAAATTTAGAAAAAGAAATGAGAGTAGCGATTTCAAAACTTCAACCCCGATTTGAGAAGTTATGCTCAGAAAAGCAAGCTCATCCTTCTCATTAATTGTACTGTTATGTTTTCTAATAAATAATAATTATTAAGATTCTATATTCTTTGGAGTTTTCTTTGAATAAAAATGTAATTTTAATATCTGCTAGAGCTACACGCAGGTATCTTCTTTTAGAAGGACATCACAAAAAAATTACAGCCTGTAAAAGGAGTCACAGTATAAAAAAATTGGGAACTCATGATCTATAGTACAGTATATATTATTTATAAAAACAGAACTGTTTTTTTAACGAAAACAACTGTCAGACAGAGGATGACTTACAGCTTGTGATTTTCTAATACAGATCTGAACATAGAACCAATCCTTTTCTCTTTGCAAGTGTATACTCACATTGAATTCTATGATGTAAAGATTTTTAATAGTATTTTCCATTAAATAAATATTTATACCCATATGCATAAATAAAACCATTGTTTCATAAAATTGTGTGTTTTATTCAGACCTCTAATAAGGTACAAACATAAGTACAAGTTCAAGAAAGAATTTCATTTTAACTACATTGACAATTAAAAAATCATCTACTGTCTATTCAGGCATCGCGACAAAATTTTACACAAAATGGGAGGGTTGAAAATGAAAATAGTTTGCGCACCACCAGTCTAAAGTACAAGTAATTGAAAAACATTTTTACCTTCCAATGTTGTATTATTTCCTCTCTTATAATGAGACACACACTCTTCAATCTTTGTGCCTTTGTCCACTTTTTGCATGATTGGTCACCTCCATTCCAACTACACACAGACCACTGCTGAGCAAAAAATCTCCAGCCCTACCTACTTGTACTCCACATTTATAAGCTCTTTTGACCAATCATGAAGTTGGAAACAGCCATCAGCCCATTTTATCCTCCCACATAGAGTGCACTAATTCAAACATTTCTCTGTCTCTTAAGGTAGTGGCTGACTCATGTCCAACAGAAAACAACTATGTCTGGTCCGAAACAATAGATAATGTTAGTTGACCATGCTAATGACAACATATGGTAGAATCCTGACAGATTCATAAAACATACAAGAAACTAAAACCAAATTCATATTCAATGGTTAAATGGCAAAAGCAATTAAGGCATGTGCATGGCAATTCGGCACAAATCAAGTTTAAGTTGGACCTGTTTTTTTCTTTTTTCAGGTTTGATTCTTTCTACAATGTGGGCACAAGGAAGACCTTTTTCTGTGCCCTTCATGAGTTTGGCCTGACTGTCAATGAAGATGAGGATTTGACAAATCTATCTGAAATAGACCATCTGTGAAAAATTCCTTAAGTTGTCCACCTGAGTTTGATCCTGGATTCCCAAAAGTGGTAGACTAATACCTTAAATGCCTGGGCCATCAGATTATCCAAAGTTGGCTCTCTCTGGAAATACTTAGGGATGGTCTGACAAGGTCTTGTGTCTCCCCATCTAACACTCACTAAGATCTGGCAAATTCTTGACAGGTCTCAAAAATAAAGAGCCATCTTTATTGAAGCAAGCAGCCACAGAAAAGAGAAACTGATATAGCTAAACTATCATTAGTTTTTTTGTTTGATAATATTGACTATTAAAATATATATTAACTGGCTTTCTTCAATTTCAAATTATTTAGAATTTTATGAACCAATATCAAATGTAAAATTTGTTTTGAAACATATGTAATGACACAAACAAAAGTATAAATATGGAGGCTGTTCAAGATAAGAGTTGCATGAATATTTTTTGTTAGGTTAAACTCACCTGACTTAAATATTATTGTGGTCTTTTTCAAAGTATTTCCCATTGAAAGCAATGCACTTACCCAATGCCACTACCATTCATCATTTTCTGCTTCTTTAAAACTGCATCCATTGCTTTTAGAATTTCTGCTGTGGAGTTAAATGCATGATCTCACTTTTTTCCCAGGGTTGAGAACAGGAAAAAGTCACACAAAGCCAAATCCAAAGTATATAATAAATGTGAAACAGTTATGATTTATTTTCTAGCCAAGAAGGTTGACATACTGTGTGCTATCTACAGACAGGAATTGTCATGGTGCAATTTCCACCCCAGTGCATAAAGATGTGGACACTTTCTGGATCATTACTGGTTTCATCATCTGCTTGTTTCAAACATACTGTAGACTTTCACATTAATTTTCCCAAACAAATCAAAATTTTTAAACCATGTGTAGTTCCATTAAAATTTCCACGGTTGTATAGGCAACTGTAGGCAGATATCACTTTCCCACATTTTTGCACAGCAGAAATCAACAATAGGATGCAGAATTGTCCCATTTCAATGGATACTGGGAAGGCCATCTACAGAGTTACAGCTCATTCAATTATGTTATTCTTTAAACCCAGAAAAACCCTGCAAGTCTTTCTCAAACAACCTCATATAAAAGCAGTTTTTCAAGTTATAGTCTTTCTCAATTACACAAATTATAGAAACTATAAATCTTTAAATGCATAACTTCTATTGTTTATTATTGTAATCTAGATATAAATTTACAAAAAACAACATTAATAGAAATTAATACTTGAAATTAATTTTTTCTTTAATAAAAATTGGTGACTGGTCTTCTAATCTTGCATTGATGAATCCAGCAGTAGTCTAAAAAATAATTTAAAATTAATAATAATTAAAAACAATTAATATAAGACAATTAACATATTAAAAAACAATTAATATATTAATGTTATCATTACATAGACCAGAGATGATGAACAATGGCACANAATTTTTAAATTTTAATTATAAGCAAGTTAACATTGGTTAAACTATCGGATTACCTGTTGATTTTCGAAAATATAACTACAGAATATTTATTACAAGCATGATCAATCTTGCCAGTTTTTAAGTGCTAAATTTGCCAAAATCAGTGATATTTGTTACCCAATATCATTTCAGTTAACTAATTATTAAACTATGTATCGAAGTTGCGGAAAAAAACGGAAGAGAGAGGGAAAATATGCTTGCAGTACAGTACATTCAAGGAAAATCGTAACAACAAATATAAAAAGCTTGTGCCAACAACAAGTCAGCGCCAGTATTTTACTGTAAACGTCGGGTAACTATTTATAATTTTTTATGTTTTAAACTGAAAAACGATTAAATTACAGATTTTTACTGATCTGTTTAGCTATTTTGAAGTGAACATTCTAATAAATTACGATTTCAACTTTTAAAAGTTTGCAAACAAATTTTTAATTAGTTATTTTTTATTCTAATAAACAATTTCATCTTTTTATAATCGCTGAATTACTAAAATTAAAAATTAAACACTATTACATAAAAGTAGTTTATCCTGTTATTAATTAACTCCCTTGCTACCCACTAATTTTTAATATTAATGTAATTAAACATAAAAAATATTTAAAACTGGGAAAAAAACGAAAGAAATGCGTTAATTTTGAAGAAAAAGCTTCAAACTTTATTTTCCATTGTCTCGCCTTTCTGTGAAATCTGACACCGATGAGTCATTGTGTTTACAGCTGGATGACCTGGAGAACAGCTGGTGTTGGATTTCCCGGGACATTCTCATAGAAGTCTCGGGAGGAGAAGGGTTTAAAGTAGAGTGAATACTAGCTGGCCGTATATTTTTAAATATTTTTCAAAAATTACGTTTTTTTATTGCGATTTCCGACCCCCCGACTTAATTAAACGTATATATAATAAAATATATTAAATTAAAAAAATTAAAAAACTATTGGAGGTCGTTTTTGACATCAGAAACTAGCTTTAAATAACTTTATCGAAGTAAAATCCGTGCACTACTACTTTAGAACGATGAATGAAATTTGATAAAAAAAACTCCCATTAAAAAACAATTAAGCGTTAATCGTGCGTCATTAAAGGTATATTAAAATCGCGATAAAATATTTTCGCGCGGGAAAAAATTTTTGAAAAAATTTGGAGACTTAAAAAACATCCAAAAATCAAAAAAAAACAAAAATTTTTTCGGAGGGCCCAAATGCCCGAGTTTTATGTAACGCTATGGAACTTGCCCGAGTTATCTCGGGTTTTAAAGATTGCAGCATTACTTCTTGCCGCCTGCAGATGGCTGTGATTGGTCATCTATATTCAGCAAACGAAATCAACAACGCAGTTAAGGAGACAAATTCCCTGACTTTTTGACAATTTTTGACAAATTCCCTGACTTTCCCTGACTTTTTCAAAAAATAATGAAAATCCCTGACTTTCCCTGACTTTCCAGGTGCGTAGGAACCCTGTACATCTGAAAAGTGAATGTTAATTAAATAAATTTGGTTCTCTTTCTAGTGTAAGACCAACTAAATTGAGATTTGTTTCTTCCAATAATTTTTACAGATGATTTTGCCTTGCTAAATGATTAAAAGATTGTCAATGTATTAGCATACTAATATAATATAGTCTGTTTATGTTTGGCAAAGATAGAAGTTTTTATGAAGTAAAGGCAAATTTCTACTAAATCTCCTATGAGGGAGCCTACAGCAGCTCCTTGAGATTGTTGGTAGTAGTGTCCTTCAAACCTAAAACAGGAAATATAGTATATAACTTTACAAATGAATTTAGGGATGACATGATTCCATCTTTCAGTTCTTATCTTATTATAAAGGAATCCATTTTTATGCTTGACATGTGATGAAGATCCATTAACTAGATCAAAAACATTCTTATTTTCATTAAATTATTCTTGCTGGAGTAATTTAAGATGTTAATTTTTATTTATATTATAAAGAAAGTTTATTATCAAGCTATACATCACTTTGAGTTTGAGAGAGTTAGAGACTTTTGTAGTCCATTTCTGATATTATCTTTCAATGACTGAAGTCTTTGTTACAGATTTCCTCCATTAGCATGCTAAATTTTTAATGCATAATTCTGTTTTTCATAATATTTTCTAATAAAGACATTTAATGTTTACTCTGTATAGATAGTAAGCGAAAATGACTTTCCCAGAATGGGCCTCGAGAGCCAATTTGATTTGTGGGCTTTTATAAAGGCAAATCAGCATGATCATTTCTTTTGAAGTATAGTACATCATAGCTCCTACGGTAGTTTTGAATTTCTTTGAATAGATTTAACTTTCTTATATAATGTAAGAGTTAGGTTGTTCTTCAGGAGTAGCAACTCATATTAGTTAGGTAAGAATTTATTGATTCCAAATAGTAGTTCCTCTTGAGAATTGCAAGTATTCTGTTCTTACCTATTAGTGTAACTACAATTAAAAAATGAGATTGTGCTCTGAAAAACAATACATAAATCTTAAAAATGTTCTGCCATGTCTGCAACATTGGAAGCTGGGATTTGACTTCATTTCCTGTTTATGATTCTCAGACATCTTGACCAATAGAAGGTCCAGGTTAAACAAGCTCCAACTGATAGCTTGCATTCAATATTGCATTTATAGTATAATGTTCAGTTTTGAGGTAAATTTGCATTGGCTAGTTCAAACTTCATACTGTCCCATAATACAATCTCTTTAGAAGTGAAACAGTTCTGCAGCACCAGAAGTTTGCAACACTGCAATGTTATATTGAAGAACAAAATAAACCTTATTAAGCATTAAAATATACTTATTAGTAACAGAAGTCATGTGATATAAATAAATAATGTCTATTTATTTTTGACATGCCTGTAAGATCATACATGAAAAATGATCAGTTTTTACTTATGGCACTAGCTGGAGATCAGTGTGAGGGTGGCTGGAGATACAGGGTTTGGATTGCACTCATGTATCACTTAATCGGCTATCTAATCAGTTAGATTAGCCTCAAAGTCAAAGGATGGCAATAAAAGTGTTTATTGAAAAGATGGAGACGTACAATCATATAATCCAGTCTCCTGTCAGGATTCCTGACACCAGCTGGGTAATTAGAATATGTGCCCTAACTTGCATAAACAAAATCAAGAGGTGACAGCCGAGTGACAATGTCTGCATAAATCATAGGAGGGGCTTGAAATAGATGAGTGGGACTGTTGTGTTAGGATACCAATCGGAGCAATCGACAAACTCACTTCTAAACAAAAACAAAACTAATTTAATAAAACTATAAAAAAATGGTTACAGACCATAATATAATAATATTCAAGGAAAATGACTATGAAAGTCTTGAATTCTAGATTGACCTTAATCTTAAGGTATTCTACCTTCTGAATATAAGAGAGAGTTTACAAAAGTACTATTATAATACTTCCATATTATTTTTGACTTGTAACCTTCTTGTCCTTGGGCAGAAGTTCAATCTATAAAGTATGGCACTATGTTAAAGACTAGAGGATACTGAATAGTGTGCTGTGCATGGAATTTAGCACATATCCTATATTTATACTATGTTTTTTTCCTCAAATAGAGATTAAGGATTAAGATCATCTGACTGTGTGGCATAATGAGTCTTTTTCGTTTAGTCAGCCTTTTAGTCATGGGAGATAAAATCTCTCTCAGGAACTGACTGTCAACACAGGAAACATTTGTTCCTTGTTCACTCTGATTTTTAGCTTTGATAAAAATTTCAATTATTTTATTTTATTTTTAAAAAATTTTCTATAATTTCTTGAATATTTTATCCCAAAATATTCAGAATCTCACATCAGGTTTTAACTGTAGGCATTGAGTCATCTCCAGCCAGCACTGTAATGAACCAAGTATGGCTATATCTAAATTAATAAGTTCTGGAAACGAGGATTGGTCAAAGGTCCACGTAGCATAACTAGCAATGTGACTGCATGATAAGTGGAAGATGCAAGTTTAAGTTCCACTTTGGCCCACTTGTTTTCTTCCAGAACTTCTGAATTAATTATTAAAATAAAAAATTAGCAAGAGATGGCACCTAATACCTGCATCTAATGCCAAATTACTTAGCATTTAATTAATAATAGTAGTAGTAATATTGCTTAATATAATTCTGCAATTGTTCGGCTTTAATATATAACTTGTGGGTTTGAATGTTTATAGAGTTTATATTTGTAAAATAGCTAAAATTCACTGCAGTGTTATATTGGTTTGTTTAGAAAGTTCATAGCAATTTTTAAGAGAAATAAAAGAAACTGTTTTAAAACTAAAAATATACTTTTATTCCATTACATTATATATGTGCTATTGTTTTTAATGATATGTTGCCATCTATGGGGAGCTTCACGATACCTTCTTCATAGAACTTTCCAGTTTTTCCTGAAAAAACTGATCCATGTGGTTTTTGCAAGCTTCCAAAGTGTCAAAGTTTTTATATGAAGGAAATTTTGCAGAGAATGGAACAGATGGTAGTCCAATGAGGCAAGGGTTAGGTGAGTATGGGGGTGAGGTAAAACATCTCAGCCTAGTTCCAATAATTTTTGGCATGTTCGTAAAGACATGTGCAGTCTGGCATTATCTTGGTGAAACACAATGCCTTTTCTATTGGCCAGTTCCAGACATTTTTCTTTAATTGCCATGTTCAGTTTATCCAATTGGGAACAATACTTATCAGAATCAATTGTTTGATTCTGTGGAAGCAGCTCATAGTACAGGATTCCTTTCCAATACCACCAGACTGTGAGCACAACTTTCTTTGGATGAAGACTGGCCTTTGGAGCTTTTAATGGTGGTTCATTTTTCTTACCCCATGATCATTTTTGGCTGATGTTGTTATAAACGATCCATTTTTCATCACCTGTAACTAAACTCTTCAGAAAAGGGTGATTTTCATTTCATCTTTTAAGAGAATCACAAATGGAGATGCGATCCAGTAAGTTATTTTCCGTTAACTCGTGAGGTATCCAATTGTTGTAACGATTCACATACTCGAGCTTCTTTAGATGTTGAAATATGGTATTGTTTGATGACTCCACTATGTCTGCAATTTCTCAAGTTGTATAATGAGAGTTTTCATCCAATAATGCTTTGATCTGGTCATCTTCAATAATGGGAAATCTTCCTGAGCAGGGAACATCTTCAAGGCTAAAATTACCCACTTTAAATTTTGCAAACCACTTTCAAACAGTTGATTCTGCTACAGCACTCCCACTATAAACCTGAAATATCTTTTTTGCTGTTTGTACAGCATTTTTTCCTTTATGATAAAAAAAAAAAGAAACAAGTGTCAATAATGCATGTTGTTTGCATCCATTTTTGCAATGAGACAAATTAAACGATATTTGAATAATCTTAACGGTTTTTTTGGTAACAGATGTGTTTCAAAGTCATTCACGTAATATTCATTGGTTTGTACAATTCTAATCATTTTCACGTCAATCAGTGTCTCAACTGTCACCTATCAAAAATTGCTATAAACTTTCCAAAAACCCAATCTATACATATAATCAAGACAGGATACTGTCCAATGTTGGTATCCAAATTGTTGGAGAAAAAGTATCCTTTTTTAAATACACATTTCTGTTATTTGTCCAAGTGTTTAATATTTTTCCTTGTTTTTTTAGCGTTCTGGTTTTATAGAAAATATTTCTATAATATGGAGTAAGATGTTCATTTATACATATTCTATATTCCTCATTTATAATATGACATGCATTTGTAGTTATTTTTAACTTCTTCTTTTTATTATTATTTATAATTTTTTGTTTGACAACTGAATTGGCACATTTCACTATAATTGGTTGCGATCTAGTTTTGAATTCTTTTCTTTCGTTATTAATGGATTTAATTCTGGAGGCATTCAATAGATCTGACTGATTAAAATTATCGTCAACAAACGAAAAAACTTTTTATATGCCTGTTAAATTCTCATTCTGAAGTGTCGGCACGCCAACAACCTCCAAGCTTGAGTTGTTTAGACTTGATAGTTAACATGCAGAATTTTTCTTTTAAAGAATTTAATTCCGCCTTTGTACTTTTATTCTCTTCTTTTAGTTTTGTCATTGTTTCGATAGCAGTTACATAGTTTTTCTCTAAAACATTAATTCTCTCTTCCATTTTGTCAAACTTATTTGTTAAGAATTCTATCGATTTCTGGATTTCTATGTTTGTTTCTTTTATGTTACTCAACTCCAAGTGTATTAGTTTCACTTCTTGTAAAATTATTTCAGAATTTTAGGTAGTTATACTTAAAGGTGACATTGGAGTTAAAGTTAGATTATCTGGTGTTCTATCCACGTTCTTATTATAATTATGTGAAGTCATAATAATCTGCTCACACTCACCCAGTTCTCTGTCATCTTCCAGTTCCTGTGTCCAATTTGCTTTGTTCTTAATGGTTTTCACTAATTTGCAATCTTCACATTTCCAAGTTTTTTTGTAAGACTTGCTGAACTTATGAAAGTTTGCTTCCTGGATCCCAAAACAATAGCAGTGAGCAAATTTAGAGCAATTGGAACAAGTCAATAAACTTTGTGCTTGCAAAAAGAACAAGCGCTCAAATGATGAGTTTCCATAGCTCCACGCCTCCTCCAATATATATTTAATATTAATACAAAACAATAGAAAATTTTGTTTTCAAAATTAAAAAGTTTCTGTCATTTTAAGCATATAGATTAATGACTAAAAGAATGACCAATTTGTTTGTCAAAGTAAATTTACAGTGCTAATTTAAATTTACTATTATCATATGTCAGTACTGTACTACTGAATTACTATGTGTTAAAATTGTGTTCAATAATAAAACTTCTTAATTTAAATATTCAATATTTGTATTTTTGTATTCAATGTAATGACTTGCTGTTTTTAACAACATAAGATCAGACCAAAAATATTCGGTAGTTCTATAAATTTTGCTATGTACAACACTTCAAAAGATCTTGAACTTTTTATATTTAAAAAATAAAGAAAATATTAACCTTTCTAATCAACCTTATAAACTAGCACATACAGTTATATATGACAAGTTCTTTTAATGTTATGTAGATCATCATCATCATCATCAGTTTCAGATTCATGTAGTAATATGAAAATATGTNTCACGTTTAATATTTATACAATTGCTCATTAATGCAAAGTATACTTACATTTTAATTATAAACGATGTAATTGAATTTTCTTACATTATAAATGGGCAAAAATAATAGAAAAAGGAATCAAAAAGCCAAAAATTTTCATCTATTTCAAATAGTGGCTAAAAAAGATCTTGAACTTTTTATATTTAAAAAATAAAGAAAATATTAACCTTTCTGCAGTGGGTTAGTCAGATATGGTGCTATCCCTATGTAGTGAAGAATAAACGTGGGAAATTTTTAAAGTATTTTCCCATGCATTTTTCTCATTACTGTTTCGGAAAAAGATTTTGTAAACAGTATAGTCTAGTATAGGAAAGTCTTTTTTTATTGTTACATAATTCCTTTTTTATGCAAATTATTTTTACGGTAGTTTTTGGCAATATCTGCTTATGGATATAGCCGTCGGTCACCAGTGCCACACGATCGCTGGATATATCCATCTGTCACTGCGGAGTGGTTAACGATTATAAAAATAAAACATATGAATATGGCGCACAAACAGATTATTGACATCATCTCTGAATAAAACTTAATTTTTGATAATTAGAGATTTTAATATAATGAAATAATACATTAATAAAATTTGTTTGCATTTCATTCTTCTATTGTTCAATTTTCTTTTGTTATTTCAAGAAATCCAACACACATTATGTTTAGAAGAAAGATAAATTTTCTAAAAAACGTTTTTTCTTTTCTCTATTTCCTTATTTAGTTAATTACATTATTTAAGAAAAATTGAAAAGGAAAAGGAAAAATAATGATAAAATAACTATCTACTTCTAATTTTATAATGTTATTTATTTCACAGAAACCTTATTATCTAATTACAATTGATTTTTTATTATTTTGAATTTACTATTATGTATTGTTGCTTTGTTGTTTAGAGAAAAAACTGAAAAAAGCTATTTGTCCCTCAATCTTGAAATTAAAACAAATTTATTTGTTATTTGAAGTGCAGTCTCATTAATCTAAACTCCATTACATATAAACCAACTTTGGTCATTTTCCAATAAAGACAAGAAATTGTAGATTATTTTTTAAATTACAATGAATCCGTAAAATTAATATTACTGCACATTTTTGACATAAATATATGTATGAAACAGTGTAAAAATTTTTGAAATATATATATATTTGTCCAGAGACAAAATATCATGCTATTTACTTCTTTTTCTTCGTACATAACTCCACTAATCTAAACCATTCAACAATTAACTTGAGTTAATGAGAGTTCACTGTACACTAAGTTTTTGAGTATGAATTGTTATATCTCAACTGTCATCTCAACAGTTAATTTTCATATTTGAACTAATATTAAATAGGCCTTGCATTTCACAAATTAATAAATCTTTAACTTAACTGATAATGTTTATTACACATAGCATTTATGAATTTAATGATAAAATACAACAGTAATTTAATCTTTTTCTAAAAAATTTCACAATATTTAAAATTATATAAACAGTCTCTATTGTCAGTAGCATTCATAAAAAAATAGTTGTAAAATCAATCAAATAAACTAATTAATTATGTTAGACAGCTGTAAGTGGTTTAGATTTTGGATGTGAATTTGGCAGCAATCCCAACTCAACTGCAAACTTTACATTCAAAAAAATTCGCCCATCAACATCAATGAAATGTCAGGAAAGGAAGAAAACATTAACCAGGAAAAAAATCCAAAGATACACATCGTTATCAAGAAATCTCTTGGACAGTTTTGCATGACTCCATCCTAACCCAAAAAGTAATTGGTTAAACTTTACCTATGTGCATCGTCATGGCTGTGGTCACAACTGTTCATACCCCCAACTGACTCCTCGCCGAGTGTACAATGTCACTAGTTATTGATATGTGTGTTCAAGAACTACCATGAATCAATAACTAGTGACATTATACACTTGGTAGCCTGTCGGTGGCTCCCCTCCAGGAGTCTGTCAAGAGTACAAACAATCGCAACCATGGCCATGACAACGTACATGGGTAAAATTTGACCAAGTAATAAAAAGCATACCGCGACCCAGATAACGCAACCGGACATCATAACACAACAGAACACGCACACACTTTTCAAATTCACCAGCAATCTACCTACCACCACTAAAAAAACAACAGATTTGTCCCATCCCTGTCACCAGAACAGAGCACATCATCTAATTGCAACATTAACAAGATTACAGATATGCCATCATTATAGTTTCACAGGTAAAAGTCTACGATTAAAATGTACTAATCCAGTTGATTATTCAACAGGTGTATGTTATTTTGTAATTAAAAATAACATTTGTATGTATGTATATGGCGATAAAGATTTTAAAAAGTTTCGACATAGTCGTGTAAATCATCTGATTTCAGTTTTTACAGGTTGTATTGTTGAGTGTTAGGTAAATTTTAACATTTATTTTTACTGAGCATTTTATCATCTGAGAGAGATAAGAACTAAAGTACTGAATGCTGCGTATTGATACTTACCATCTCCAATAAATTTGCAGATCCAGCAACATATCCAGCTGCTGTGGATGTTGCTTGTTCATATTGTTCGAATAAAGATGCCATTTTTTTAACTAAAAGGTTACAAAACAGAATAAATTTGATTAAAATTTTACTCACTTTTAATATTTATACAATTGCTCATTAATGCAAAGTATACTTACATTTTAATTATAAACGATGTAATTGAATTTTCTTACATTATAAATGGGCAAAAATAATAGAAAAAGGAATCAAAAAGCCAAAAATTTTCATCTATTTCAAATAGTGGCTAAAGACACCGCCATCTTGACACAATCGCCACCTACCGGTTAGCAAATATTTCGTTCGCTCAATAATTAAATTTTATGGTTATTTTCTAAAATACGTCTTTATATGTTATTATTTGAAAAATAACGGTATAAAATAAAAACGTATTTATTATAAATCATCTTATACTTAATATATAATAATTATATGTTTCGCTACACATTTTTACGTGTACTCCTCTTTTCCTTGTACATTTATTTCTAATATTAATAAAATTACAAATCATTTAGTACAAACTTAAATAATTTACAATTAAATATTATTTACGACATTAAGATTATTTGAATTAGAAATTATTCAATTATCTGTATAATTCTGTTTTCATTTACCAGATACTCGGTGATAAAAAAATTGTACTGTATAGGAACAAGTAGGCCTATACGAGGGCTGTTCGAAAAGTTCGCGGCCTTGCCTATATGCGGCGCTGCGATCAATTTAATTTTTGGCGGGAATAATTCAGCCATCCTTGCTAAAGATACGATACCAATTTCCGCTTGATTTGTCGTAAAGTTTTGCCACGCCAGCTTAGCAGATAGTCAATGTGCACATGCTTTGTCAAAATAAAGAAGACGGAGACTCGTGCGGTCATAAAATACCTGACGAAAAAAGGGTTGACCGCATCTCAAATCAAAGCTGACATGGATGAAGTTTTGGGAGAGTCTGCTCCTTCGTAAACCACTGTGAAAAAATGGACAGCTCTTTTTAAATTTGGCAGAGAGAGTGTGAAACATGACCCTCGCAGCCGACGGGCTTCAACTGCTGTCACTGAAAAAAATATCGACAATGTTTACGATTTGGTGTTAGCAGATCGCCGTTTGAAAACGCGTGAGATAGCTGAGACAACAGGCATCTCTGTCGACCGAATACACCACATCTAACCGAAAATTTGGGTATGACGAAGGTCTCAGCAAGTTGGGTGCCGCATCTGCTGACCGCTGAGCAAAGACGTGTTCGCACTTTGATGTCAAAGAAGTGTTTGGACTTCTACAAGAAAACTCCACGGGATTTCTTGCGTCGGTTTGTGACTACTGACGAAACGCGGATCCATTACTACACTCCTTTGCTTGTCAAAAATTTAATTTTGTTTTCAAATTCATAATAATTCTTAGCTGTCTTAGATCTAGTATACGTTACAACGACTTCTTTTTATTGGCTGGATACTAGCAGAAAATTTTTAAACTATCCAAGAAGTGTTGCGCTCCTGATCTCCAGAAACCACCCACATGCGGACTTAAGAAAAACCTAGTTATTCTGTTGTATATCGAATCCCGTTCCTCACCATCTGCTCACCTCGCATGAGGATCATGCAAAATCCAAAATGGATGTGAATAAAAAATCTTAGTAATTTTACAGAGGAAAGAATGAAAGCTTAGGAAAAACGAATTAACACCAACCGCAAAATTTTCAAATATAAAAATGACAGACGAAGAAGTAAGATGAGACTTTTGTAGTCCATTTCTGATATTATCTTTCAATGACTGAAGTCTTTGTTACAGATTTCCTCCATTAGCATGCTAAATTTTTAATGCATAATTCTGTTTTTCATAATATTTTCTAATAAAGACATTTAATGTTTACTCTGTATAGATAGTAAGCGAAAATGACTTTCCCAGAATGGGCCTCGAGAGCCAATTTGATTTGTGGGCTTTTATAAAGGCAAATCAGCATGATCATTTCTTTTGAAGTATAGTACATCATAGCTCCTACGGTAGTTTTGAATTTCTTTGAATAGATTTAACTTTCTTATATAATGTAAGAGTTAGGTTGTTCTTCAGGAGTAGCAACTCATATTAGTTAGGTAAGAATTTATTGATTCCAAATAGTAGTTCCTCTTGAGAATTGCAAGTATTCTGTTCTTACCTATTAGTGTAACTACAATTAAAAAATGAGATTGTGCTCTGAAAAACAATACATAAATCTTAAAAATGTTCTGCCATGTCTGCAACATTGGAAGCTGGGATTTGACTTCATTTCCTGTTTATGATTCTCAGACATCTTGACCAATAGAAGGTCCAGGTTAAACAAGCTCCAACTGATAGCTTGCATTCAATATTGCATTTATAGTATAATGTTCAGTTTTGAGGTAAATTTGCATTGGCTAGTTCAAACTTCATACTGTCCCATAATACAATCTCTTTAGAAGTGAAACAGTTCTGCAGCACCAGAAGTTTGCAACACTGCAATGTTATATTGAAGAACAAAATAAACCTTATTAAGCATTAAAATATACTTATTAGTAACAGAAGTCATGTGATATAAATAAATAATGTCTATTTATTTTTGACATGCCTGTAAGATCATACATGAAAAATGATCAGTTTTTACTTATGGCACTAGCTGGAGATCAGTGTGAGGGTGGCTGGAGATACAGGGTTTGGATTGCACTCATGTATCACTTAATCGGCTATCTAATCAGTTAGATTAGCCTCAAAGTCAAAGGATGGCAATAAAAGTGTTTATTGAAAAGATGGAGACGTACAATCATATAATCCAGTCTCCTGTCAGGATTCCTGACACCAGCTGGGTAATTAGAATATGTGCCCTAACTTGCATAAACAAAATCAAGAGGTGACAGCCGAGTGACAATGTCTGCATAAATCATAGGAGGGGCTTGAAATAGATGAGTGGGACTGTTGTGTTAGGATACCAATCGGAGCAATCGACAAACTCACTTCTAAACAAAAACAAAACTAATTTAATAAAACTATAAAAAAATGGTTACAGACCATAATATAATAATATTCAAGGAAAATGACTATGAAAGTCTTGAATTCTAGATTGACCTTAATCTTAAGGTATTCTACCTTCTGAATATAAGAGAGAGTTTACAAAAGTACTATTATAATACTTCCATATTATTTTTGACTTGTAACCTTCTTGTCCTTGGGCAGAAGTTCAATCTATAAAGTATGGCACTATGTTAAAGACTAGAGGATACTGAATAGTGTGCTGTGCATGGAATTTAGCACATATCCTATATTTATACTATGTTTTTTTCCTCAAATAGAGATTAAGGATTAAGATCATCTGACTGTGTGGCATAATGAGTCTTTTTCGTTTAGTCAGCCTTTTAGTCATGGGAGATAAAATCTCTCTCAGGAACTGACTGTCAACACAGGAAACATTTGTTCCTTGTTCACTCTGATTTTTAGCTTTGATAAAAATTTCAATTATTTTATTTTATTTTTAAAAAATTTTCTATAATTTCTTGAATATTTTATCCCAAAATATTCAGAATCTCACATCAGGTTTTAACTGTAGGCATTGAGTCATCTCCAGCCAGCACTGTAATGAACCAAGTATGGCTATATCTAAATTAATAAGTTCTGGAAACGAGGATTGGTCAAAGGTCCACGTAGCATAACTAGCAATGTGACTGCATGATAAGTGGAAGATGCAAGTTTAAGTTCCACTTTGGCCCACTTGTTTTCTTCCAGAACTTCTGAATTAATTATTAAAATAAAAAATTAGCAAGAGATGGCACCTAATACCTGCATCTAATGCCAAATTACTTAGCATTTAATTAATAATAGTAGTAGTAATATTGCTTAATATAATTCTGCAATTGTTCGGCTTTAATATATAACTTGTGGGTTTGAATGTTTATAGAGTTTATATTTGTAAAATAGCTAAAATTCACTGCAGTGTTATATTGGTTTGTTTAGAAAGTTCATAGCAATTTTTAAGAGAAATAAAAGAAACTGTTTTAAAACTAAAAATATACTTTTATTCCATTACATTATATATGTGCTATTGTTTTTAATGATATGTTGCCATCTATGGGGAGCTTCACGATACCTTCTTCATAGAACTTTCCAGTTTTTCCTGAAAAAACTGATCCATGTGGTTTTTGCAAGCTTCCAAAGTGTCAAAGTTTTTATATGAAGGAAATTTTGCAGAGAATGGAACAGATGGTAGTCCAATGAGGCAAGGGTTAGGTGAGTATGGGGGTGAGGTAAAACATCTCAGCCTAGTTCCAATAATTTTTGGCATGTTCGTAAAGACATGTGCAGTCTGGCATTATCTTGGTGAATCACAATGCCTTTTCTATTGGCCAGTTCCAGACATTTTTCTTTAATTGCCATGTTCAGTTTATCCAATTGGGAACAATACTTATCAGAATCAATTGTTTGATTCTGTGGAAGCAGCTCATAGTACAGGATTCCTTTCCAATACCACCAGACTGTGAGCACAACTTTCTTTGGATGAAGACTGGCCTTTGGAGCTTTTAATGGTGGTTCATTTTTCTTACCCCATGATCATTTTTGGCTGATGTTGTTATAAACGATCCATTTTTCATCACCTGTAACTAAACTCTTCAGAAAAGGGTGATTTTCATTTCATCTTTTAAGAGAATCACAAATGGAGATGCGATCCAGTAAGTTATTTTCCGTTAACTCGTGAGGTATCCAATTGTTGTAACGATTCACATACTCGAGCTTCTTTAGATGTTGAAATATGGTATTGTTTGATGACTCCACTATGTCTGCAATTTCTCAAGTTGTATAATGAGAGTTTTCATCCAATAATGCTTTGATCTGGTCATCTTCAATAATGGGAAATCTTCCTGAGCAGGGAACATCTTCAAGGCTAAAATTACCCACTTTAAATTTTGCAAACCACTTTCAAACAGTTGATTCTGCTACAGCACTCCCACTATAAACCTGAAATATCTTTTTTGCTGTTTGTACAGCATTTTTTCCTTTATGATAAAAAAAAAAAGAAACAAGTGTCAATAATGCATGTTGTTTGCATCCATTTTTGCAATGAGACAAATTAAACGATATTTGAATAATCTTAACGGTTTTTTTGGTAACAGATGTGTTTCAAAGTCATTCACGTAATATTCATTGGTTTGTACAATTCTAATCATTTTCACGTCAATCAGTGTCTCAACTGTCACCTATCAAAAATTGCTATAAACTTTCCAAAAACCCAATCTATACATATAATCAAGACAGGATACTGTCCAATGTTGGTATCCAAATTGTTGGA